TATTAAGAGTTACAAAGCACAGGAAATTGTGGAGAGCCATGATTATGGAGTTCACAATTAACTGCAGCATTGGATTGTGTACATGTGGATCTTGACTGAGTTCAAATAAAAAAAATTCATTTTTTTAATGATTTTCATATAACATAATTTTGACAAATCATTTTTATAGAAATAGTAACACTCTAGTGTGTATATATATATGTATATATATATATAAATCCGACAGTATGAAGAAAAATATATACGGAAAAAACAAACAAAAATCCTTATATACAATTATGCTGTTTTAATGTTAATATGTCAACGTCGGACGTTTCGGTCTAATAAACCATCTTCAGGACATATAATGTTATAATTTATGAATATGAATTTCTTAACATATGACGTCATTTGTTTACATTCGATACGCCAGAGCAGTTATGAATGTACGAGATTCATGGAAGATTGTAGTTTATAACAGTAAATTCGACCTTGTCTACCATAAGGTTCATGGTGGCCGAGTGGTTAAGGCATGTCAGCGTATATGACAGTTCCGTATAGGATGCAGGTTCGAATCCTGTCTATGAACGAATATTTTCTATGAAAATTTCTCGGACATTCAGGCCGGTAAATGTTATTTAATACTGTTTATCTTAAACAGAGCATTTGCTTAAATACTTGTATCTATAAAATAACAACGTTAAACATAAATAAAAAATGTCTTTAATAAATAAATTGTCGGACCTTGTCCATTTCTTAACATATATATATATATATATATATATATACTATTAAAACAGCAAAATTGTCCAATTGTTAGATTAATACTTTGAACCATTGTATTTTAAAACTGATTAAAGATATCTTTTAATGAAATTTCCAAGGTTTATTTAACAAAATTGGACTAACTTTGAGCAATAAATGATGTATTTAGCTCTCAGTTTACCGATTTCCAAAATCCTCTTGCTGTTGTGAAAAATGATCCAGTTTGTCCTCTACTGTTCTTTTTTTTTTTAAACCTATTTACAGTTCTATTTTTATGTTTATAGATGTTGGTATATTACTGAAGGCCTGAATGATCTTTTTTTCCTCTCACCATTGCTCAGTTATAAGACATAGTGGAGCTGACATAAAATGATTTTAACCTGTTCAAATTTAGCTTTAATTTTAAGGGTTTTTTAGTGATTCTTACAAAAATTGTCAAGATGGCTAAATATATCAAAACTCAGTTTAGTAGTTTTTTTATATTAAACATTTTGTATTTTTGGACATTTATCCCATGATTCTGTATGATTTGGACAATTTTTACTATTACACCTTGTGTGTGTGTATATATATATATATATATATATAGTGACTATTACAGCTATTATAACAAGACTCTTTTTTGGTAAAGTGAATCAAGTGATTCTCAATCACTATGTGTTTAACTAAAAATAAATATGCTAAAATTTCAACTTCACCCCTGTCATGAGTTTAAAAATTAATGGAAAATCTAAAAGATGCCAATTCAGCCAAATTTCAATCCTTACCAAAGAGGGAAATGACATTTAGCCACACTGTGATACCATAATGTAAATAGTCTGTTAAGGATGACTATATATATATATATATATATATATATATATATATAATTCATTTTTAATATGTTTTTTTGTTTTCACCTTAAAATTTTAAAATTTTTATTTTTTTCAAAAAGCTTCACCCAATTTAAAATAAATTAGATCAATTTTAAAGGAGTAATAAAAAAAGGAAAACTGATTTGGTTAATTTTTTTTTTTTTTCAAACCATTTATTTTTTGCTTTTTTTAACATTTTCTTTTTTAGTTTATCTCTCACTTTGATTCATAAAATTTCTTTAACAATGTGTAAAAAAAAAAAAAAATTTGGCGTTTCCCAATTGTGTTGTCATTTAAATAAGCAGATAGGTAATTGATACATGCACACACAAAGAGGTACTGAAAATCTGACCACACCTCAAAATTTTGTTGGGAACGGCATCTTTTGTCAAGCTGAAAACTTTTCAGTTCCCCCACGTCACACACTCACACACAGCAGCAATCATAGCATGAAGCTTAGTTACAATTTCCAATTCTTCATAAATTATGCAATGAAGGTCATATTGGTCATACACATTTATAGTTCAGTTCATATTAATGCAGGGGGGAGGTCTCTGTCCTTGAACTTACATTGTTTCTTATCCTCATCAACAACCTTCTTGGTGTCATCAGTTCCTATCTAAGTATTGCCTATTGCCTTGTTAGGAGTAAAATGATTAAAAAAAAAATATCAGTGTTCCTGATTACTTTTTGTGTTTGTCATCTCAGTTTGATTTCTAAAAGCATTCAACCCTTCAGGTTTTCATTTAGGTAGGGGTCAGCCTTTTTTTTTTTTTTTAATATTTTCTGCTTTGGCCACCTTGATACATAAATTCCCAATTTTTTTCACTTTTAATTATATTTGTTTATTCTATGATTGAATGTATCCACGCAACACACACATAATATATATATATGAAGAAATATAGTCAAAGGTATTCTATATTTATGGGATAAAGTGCTCAATATCAGAGATAGAATTTAAATATAGAGAAATAAATTGAAAACAATTTTTAAATACACAGGCCGTTTTATAAATAGACATCTATAAATTTTTTTAACATGAAACTATTTTTAATAGATGTTATATTGACTTTGATGGACTCGATGCCATTTTGGTCTTCAAACAACCCTATTTACACACACATATATATATATATATATATATATATATATATATATAAATTCAGAGTTGTCCTTCACCTAGACCAGTTCCATCCAAGGCTATAGAACCCAGTTTGTCCTGTTATTTTACCCATAGCTGTGGGAGAAGAAGAGGATTTTGCCCTTTCCCAAAGGTTTAGCATGTAAGTGAATTTAATGGATTCAATTGAATTCGAATAAACTCTTCCAATTCCTCAATCAGAGCTCAAAATATTCATCTATATATATATATATATATATATATATATATTTAATTATATATACACACACACAAAATAAAAGAAAACTGATAGATTAAGAATCCACTGTTCTGAGCATTTAATTTTTTTTTCAAATCTTGCTTGATTAAACATAGAACTAAATATATTTTTTATTAAAAATATTTTACATTGTACACAAAAATTTCTATTTTTTTTTTCTTAAAAGTTGTTCAGACATCAGGCAAAAGTTGGTATTGAGGAAAAATGAATTTTTGGGAAAAATTTAAAACAATTCAGTAGCTTATTTGAGAGTTCTTATTCTCTTATTGGGACCAAGATTCCAAAATTTTGTATGTATGTTTTTAATATACCAATCAAAAGATGGATCAAATGCCTGGGCTTTATCTGCAGACCACTTGAAATACAGCAATTTTTGACCTCAAAAAACAGTATTTCAAATTAACACTATTATTTAAGATAGCATGGTTACATTCATTTAGGTTTGGTTAAATAATTTTTCTTTATATGTCTTTTAGTTTTCATTTGATCCTTTCAAGTTTGCAATATTCATTTTTTTGGCAGATTTAGAAAATTAAGCAAGAAAAAAACCAAAATTTTTCTTTCAAATAGTTTTTATTTTTACAAGTATGTCAATCTCATCTGAGACTATCTTTGAGGGGGGTTGAAACTGTCTGTGAATATGTATATGTGTTTTTGTGAATTTAAAACATTTCAACTGTTCATTTTTCTACTGCTTATGCAATGTTCTAGAATTGAAAGACCGAGTTTATTTTGGACAAATAAAAAATACATACATAATAAATGGCATACATACTTTTATATATATATATGGTATATTTTGACCGTTGTATGCTCTGTCATTCTAAAGAATCTCTCTATATTTCCTAGATGAGGTATTGTAACTATTTACACTATATTGTTCAGACTGTTGTCCTCATCTATATTGCCATATTCATGATATTTATGTTCCAGCCTTCTTCAGGTAATTGGAATTTCAAACTGAACCATTTATTTCATCCAATTCATAAAGATTGTTCTAGTTCCACGTGTCATGCCTCTTCCTGGATAGCTTGTTTCAGTTATTTCCCAGGTATTGAACACACCACTCTTTGGGTTAAGTCACTGGATTACTTCAACCAATGCCTTTATCCACTGGGCCATGTGAATAAGACATAAAGATGAGGACAGAAGTATGAACAATGTAAATAGTTACAATTCCTCATCTCAGAAATATAGACAAACAAAAAAAATTAGTTTCTCTTTTTCACACGACAACTGTGAATGTACAAATTTAATAATAATCTTAATAATAATCCTTTTTCCTATTATAATTTTCAAGTTGTAACATTGATGAGTTTTAAATAAAAAAAATTCCATTGTCTACAAAACTTGGAAAAATTCCATAAAATCTCATTTTTTTTATTGAGCAAAGAAATGCTATACTGAATTTGTGCAAATTCATTAAAAGTTCAAATTGCAGGTTTTTAAATAATTTGAAATAAAATACCTTCTCTTTTTACTTGAATCTTTCTATTTCTTTTTAGCTGGGATCATTTTTCAACTTTATTTAAAAAAAACACTAAAAATGTTTTCCATTGTTGAGACAATTTGATTTAAAATCAATAGAACTTGACGTAATTTACTGCAAACCTCGACAATATTTTTTTAGACTTTCATAGAATGATTGAAAAACATTTTTTCAAACCATCGTCTTTAAATGAGCTTCTAAGGCTGTACTTTTACATGATAAACAATTCTCATTCTCTTCATATTCCATTGGTAAGGAGGTAGTTCCACTCAAGCAGCCTCTTCTCACAAACTGCTGCTTTGTGTAATCAACTCCCAAGAGGATGCTACAATCTTAACTGTTATCTTCTCCACATATCTTCATAAACTCTACCTTTTGCATGGTAACTCTTTACCTTGAGTGGCTCTTGGGTCTTGTACAGGGTGAACATCAATGTAAAAAAAATAATTATAGTTAAAAACAACTGTTGAATAAATATAGAAGATAATGTATTTAAATAAGCAACAGGCTTACAGCCACATCACGTTGAAACACTGATTCCTGTACAATTACCAAAGTTAAGCAATTTCAAACCTGGTCAGTACTGAGATGGGTGACTGCTTGGGAATACCAGGTGTTGTAAGCTTGGATGTGGTATAATGACTCAGAATTGTTAATCAAAGAGCTGAGTTCCAATTCCAGTTGTGTTCGTTATATTCACTTATGTGCAAAATGACTTTGAGAAAAGTATGAATCCACCTCTTCTCTCCCCAGCTATAGGTTAATTAATAAGACTTGTAAACCATAATTATCTCCCCCCCAACAAAAAAAAAATTAGTAAGACTTATAAACCATAATTATCTCCCCACCCCCAAAACCTTAGAATCTAAAAATATTTTCTGGCTTTAAATAACCTGCAAAGGGTTGGTAAGCCATAAAAAACACCTGGTTAAAAGTAGTTCAATCCTGGAGCTGAACTTTTCTTTGTCAGTTTTTGTATTAGGCGCCTGGTTAAGGCTTGTCATTTTAAACAAGAAATTGCTGTTAATATTCCCTTTTTTTAGATTATGCATCTGCTCTAACAATGATCAAGCTGATGCAAGCTGATCAACATAAGGAATACTGTTTAAAGTAAAAATAAAAATGGGGCTTCTATTTCAAATACAAGTATCCACTATAATATTTGAAGTAATAAAAATGTCAGCTTAAAAATAATTAAACTGCTTTCATTTAACCACCCTAGAGAACCTTTTCTGCCTGCCATTAGTATGGCTGATGCTTCACTCTAGGAGAGTAACACACTGCACCCTCTTGGCCTCACATTTTCCACTCAGTTGAAGTTGAATGACTATATTGAATCAATAGCTGCATCTACTGCAACAAAATTTGGCTCACAGTGTTGTGCCAGAAAATTTTTCTCATCAGAATCCATTTTGCACATTTCTGTTATTTGTTTTAATCATTGTCTCAATTTGACAAGACTATATAAGAACATGATTTGAGTTTTCAAGGTTAAAATTTGGGTTTTTATAGCAGCTTGCTGTTTTTGTGAAACTATCTGTAGCGTAGCCTATTCTATGTTCAATTTTCTTATCTCCTATACTAAATTTGTTATAAGTGATCCAGACACCAAGGCAAGGCCTCATCATTTTATAGTTCAAAATTTCTTTAGGACAGCCAATTCTATGTTCAATTTCCTTATCTCCCATACACTCTTAGGGAGTGAATTTATTTGTTTAAAATTACAGTTTTGTATCTGTCTATATTTCTGAGATGAGGTATTATGTACACTATCTACATTATTCAGACTATTGTCCTCATCTTTGTCGCCATATTACAACGTTTCGGTCGTTGTATGCTCCAGCCTTCTTCAGGTGGTTGGAATGTCGAACTGAACCCTTTATTTCGCTCACTGGGGTAGACTGTTCTAGTTCCACGTGCCATGTTTTAATGGATAATTTAGTTTTATGCAACACCCTTAAATTTTTTCATATACTTATTAGACTTAGGGGAAAGTTTTTTTCTGTGGTAAAAAGAAAATTTACCTTTTTTATGTGAAATGAATTTATTTTTGACTGTAACATTGGGAGTTTAAAACTGATTAAGGATTAGGGAAAAAGAATCTAAAAAAAAAAAACAGCCCTACAGGATGTTGGAAAAATATCATAATAAAATTAATAATAATATTAGACATATTTGATAATTAGTTGGTGCTCACAGGTGATTAACCATATATACCAGACTGGTATTTGACAAGTGGATAAGTGTCGCATACTGGTCTGTATTGGTTGTGTTGCTGTCTCCTGACAAATACACCAAAGTCCCACTGTCTTTTTTTCTTAATTGAAAGTCAAATCAGCCATCTTTTCACCAAAAGCAAGTTTTTTTTGTCATATCAAATAGCACATTTATGATTATATACCAAGAGGTTATTACCTGTAATATATATATATATATCCTCTTGTATTCTTATTTGCTCTTAGCCCAGTCGTGGACTATTCTGTTTATTACAGCCTTTGTTAACATTTCTCCTAACTTGCTCTCTGTGACTAAAATCTTCAATCATTGGTATCAGATTTTCACTTGATTCTTACAAAAAAAACTACAGATGATACTGTACATGATGAACAAGAGAAATTGGATATCTTAATTAATAGCATTTCCTCAAAGGTCTATGGCCATATTGCCGAGTATGCTACTTTCAAATTTGCTGTAAATCACCTGAAAGAATTATATGTGAAACCCACAAACGAAGTCTTCATCAGACATGTTCTAGCAACATGTGGACAAAGAGATGAAGATATTGATGGCTATGTTCAGGGGTTATAATTACTAGCTAAAGAATTCAGTTTCAAAGTGGTTAACGCTGCTCAAAATTGAGATGACTGCATTAGAGATGCATTCATTACTGGCTCATGCTTTAATTCTTTTCAACAGAGTCTTTTAGAAAACAAAACCCTTGATCTAAACGTGGCGGTTAATCAAGCCAGAGCATAGAAAAACTGAATCATATTCAAATCCGCTCTTATCAACTGAAGGAGCCATTGAATCAGGAAACAAAAGATTCATTTTTCAGTGATGCATGTGCCTTAACAAGTACTAAATGTTATTTTTGTGGTGGATCACACCACAGTCATAAAACCACCTGGCCAGAGAGGCCAAATGCAGAAAAAAGGGCCACTTTTCTAAGGTATATTGATCGGTTGTTACTTCGGCTACCTCACTTAATCAATCTTATACATTGGCAACCACTACGCTACCTAGTTTATTAAAACAGGCTACAGTGTACATATTGATTGGCCAAAATGAGGACACTGCTCTAATGGACACTGGCTAGCTCTGGTTCCTTTATTTTGCTTATGTGAAAAGACACCAGATAAAAATAAAACCTGCAATGGGGAATGTGTCCCTTAATGCTTCAATTAAAGCCGAGTGTGCCGTCAATTTAAATTTATTAGGTGAGTGGTATTTGAATGTTACACTTTGTGTCCTTCCCAATCTTTGTAGTGATCTAATACTTGGGCAAGACTTCATGAACCAACATTCTGGTGTATGTTTTGCATTTGACTATCATAAGAAAAGCCAATCTATTTTGAGTTCAACTGCTTGTCCCCCACCATCGTAGATGGTAGATTAACCCCCATTGTTTTCGAATCTTCATTCTAACTGCAAACCTATGTCTATGAAATCTAGGCAATTTGGAACTGCCAATAAACACTAAATTAAAGATGATGTTAATAAAATACTAGAATTGAGGAGAGCATATCTCCTTAGCAAGCTAAGAGTTTAATTATTGATAATGAATGGTTTCATCTTTGTCACCCTTGTATAACCAGGTTAGCCTAGTTTATCAAAGTCAGGAATCTACCTTACTCTATGGAAAATGTAAAAAAAGTATGTGCTGATTGTCCTGTTTGTGCAAGATGGAAACCACATTTCTAGAAACCTGAAAAAGTTTGCCTGATAAATTCTTTTACAACCAATACAAAGAATCAGCATAGATGTGAAGGAACCTCTTCCTTCTAACTCTCAGAACCGTTATATATTAACGGTAATTGGTGAGTACTCTTGGTTTCCTTTTGCTTGCCCCAATATAACAACTAGTGTAGTAATTAAATGCTTAACTCAGATTTTCACCCTGTTCAGGACTCCTTCCTATATCCACTTCAACCAGAATTTGTCGTTTCTATCTAAGGAACTGCATAAGTACATCACTGAATTGGGTATAGCTACAAGTCGAACAACCCCATACAACCCCCAAAAGTATGGTCAGTGTGAATGATACAATGGAATTACCTGGAAGTACATTACACTGTCCTTGGCTTTGAGAAATCTATAAGAATCTCCATGAGAAGTTATCCTACCTGCAGTGCTGCATACCATAAGATCTCTACTCTGTACCGCAAGAAACACTGCACCCAATGACAGAATATTTTCATATCAACGCTGGTCACCTAGTGGTCATTTCTTGCCCACTTGGCTAGCAGTGCCTGGTCTGGTTCTTTTACATCGTAATGTCCATGCTAATAAGTGCAAACATTTAGTCGACGAGATTCAGCTGTTAGAAGCTAGTCTCTAATATGCCCATGTAAGATTTAATGACGAATGCAAGTCTACTGTATGTGAGCATGATTTGACTTCAGTTGGGAACAAATACAATCTACTCTTGTGAAAAAGAGCACAACAGAAGTGGAGGAACCTGATATTCATTCTTAAGCATTGAGTTATCCCTGAAATACATTTGCCAGCGCCCACCAACTCTAAGGATCAACATTCTACTCTGATTCCTTAAGATTCAGTGACATAAAGACGATCTTTGAGGAATTGAAAAAAACTGTTATGATATTCAGAACATTAAAAATAAATTGAGATGTCATAAGAATTAACTTGCCTCGATTTGGACTCTCCCGGAATTATCCACCTTTTGCTGTACTATCTATCATATATATATATATATATATATATATATATATATATATATATAAATTCCCAAGAGGATAGACTCCAGGTAGAACTCAATGTCCAGGACAGAATAAGAATATAATAAAAAAAGGCTCAAACACTAATATTCCATGGTTATAATTTATTACATTGGAATCATAATCATGATCCAATTCCTCAGACCTACAAATTCAATGTGTCGTCTTTTACTTGTATTCTTATTTGGTCTTAACCCTGTCATGGACCAATCTGTTTATTATAGCCTTCGTCAAGGTATTTCTTTCGTTCTGTTCCTTATTACAGTCTGTACTAGCTATTTTTATTGTCCCAGTAAAGAAATTTTACTGATTACTTGTCAGTGATAGAGAGGGTAAAATATGAGTGACAGAATTTTCTAGTCCTTGCATTTGCATATCTGTTTGTGCTTCCAGGGCAAAAATTCTCACTTTTACTGGAGATCTTGCTTCCTTGCTAATTGTTGATTCATCAATACACTGACCAATGAAAAGGCACCATCACATTGTTTTTTTTTTTCCTTTTTTTTTGTGAGACATGTAAACATCAATATATTTCCAACCTGCTTGGATATTTTTTAGTTAGGTCTTTTATCTTCTTAATCCTTAACTTGAACTTACAACTATCCTCTATTTTATATGCACATTATGTAACATAACATTTTACATAATGTTACATAACGTTAATA